ACTTTGCCCAACAATATCAGATTATTTGGTCAGTGTTTCACCATTGAGAGATGATAAATGTGACTGCTACTTCAATATCCACAATGGTCCACCTCTGATAAGCAGATATAGATCGATCGTCTACACAGCTTGATATGATGTTTTGAGAAAATACTGCAAGGCCGGGTGTTTTTTCTCAGCCATCTCTGGGCTTTCCCTCCGAGTCAGCACCTTTACAGCCCCCCAGACCCCCACCGCCTGCGATTCACCTTCAGTTTACGAGGCTCCGTGCCCTTGAGCTGTCACCCAGCGGCCTGGAGGTATTAGCCGCTCCTGTCTGACCTGGAGCATTAGAGTCATTTTCAATTGGGGATTAAAATGTTCACGGTGGTGAGATGAAAACGTGGAGTGACGTGGAAATTGTGCCGTCACTTGCCGAGAGCAGATGAGGGCAGCTTTAAATCAAACAGTTTGAACAGCTTTCACTTTGCTGACAGAAATAAAAAAGGCCTAATGAATTATAGATTGATCAGCATTCATATTTGAACAGCGCTGTCTGTTCATTTCTGTCTAACGATGGTAGATCATCAGATATTTCAAAAGCAAGAGGTGTTTTGATTATGGCTTATTATTGAAATTTCTTTCTAGGCCAGTAATGACCACTAATAATTAATACATTGCTGTGGCTCATACCAATGCCAGTAATTGATTATTTTGCTTTTTTGCCCTGACTGCCCAAACAGTAACCATCATTGTTAAAAATTATATATTAGTAGGTTAAATTATGTTAAATTAAGTCAAAGCGTCTAAAATTTCTCATTATAAGAATTTTGTAAGAGTATTAAGAATATTCAGCCAAGTGTTAGACATGTTTTACTTGTTTTGAAGTAATTTTACTAAACAAAATAATATGCAGTGGTTGTAATGACCAGTTGTGTGAATGTCTGACATGACGTGCTTTCCTCATGGACAGACCACATGTTCCCAACCCTGGTCTTGGAGTTCCCCCTGTCCTCCAGAACTGAATGTTTTTCTTGTTGTAACACACCTACTTCGGCTCAGGAGGGGCTTATAAATTATCTGATAAGTCGGAACAGGTGATTTAGAGCAGGCAACACTAAATTTGCAGGGGTGATACACTCTTGGTCTTAACAGTCTCTCATGGAGAATTTAATGTGTAATCCCCCATGTGATGCCAAATAGTCCGTTTCTACCTGTGATTTATAACAGAACTGCAAGGAAACCTCAGGTTTCAGGCCACTATTAGAGTTTTCACGATACCCTATGTATTGTGGTTTTGCCAACACAATATGATATATTTTATGAGAAGTTAAAAAGGAATGGCAACATTCATATTGCTTTTATTTTTTTGATATGAGATTGTAGAGTATAATGAAATTTAAATACGAAGTGAAAACGGTTTTGGATGCGGAATCCTAGTTTTTTCTTTCTTTCTTTTCTGTCTCTTAGGAACGTATTACAGTGCTTTTTATTACAACAGTAGAAACTGTTGTATTGTATTGTATTGAATTAATTGAATTGTATTGAATGAACTGTTGTAGTGTATTGTCTCACAACCCTGTACCAAAAAAATGAACTTCAATAAGCATAACTGTCTTAATACATGACTCCCTTAATGTCTAGACGTGGTCCAGACTATATATATACACACACAGTAGTGAATGGTTTGAAAATTTAACTAGGTTAAAGTTGGTTTCTTATTTGAATTTCCCATTCCACCTTAAATGGTGCAGCAGTTACATTCAAGCACATGTACAGGTGCCAGAATGTAACTGCTGCTCCATTTATAGGGATCATATCATCTGAAATGGTTTTATTTAAAACGTGTGTACTGTATATAAATACAAAATTCTAATTCCCTGATATACATTTTTGGCCAAACTACCCACTACAGCTTAGAAATACAGTGCATTGAAAACACTTGAAGAGAAAAGCAGAACCTGGTAAACAGCGACTATTTTCTGCTTTGGTTAATCACCACTGTACCTGCGTGTGATTGTCTGAGTGCTCTCCAGCACTTCATTGCATTTTCAGCCTCCACTTCGACCCTGACAAAGCACTAAAAACAAAGCATGCTTTTACTGTCTCAGTCCCGAGAGCTGTGCATCCATCACAGATTTGTCATGTTGGAGAATCATCAGCCAGTCTGGAAAAAGGGGGCCTGAATTTTTCATATGTTTTCAAAAATGCGTTGTGAGACAAAAGAAGCTTTACTGCAGCGTGGATCTCATAACTCCATCATGTGTAAAACACACAGAGGCAGTGAAATTGCTCAGCTTCCTCCATACATCCTTCCAGTAAAGTGCGGTTTGCAGTGGCAGGGGGGGATTTTCTAAAGGCTACGTTAAATCTTAGGGGATTTGGGACTTCAAAGGAGTTCAACCTCACCCTTTTAGAAGTGCATGGAGGGGTTAGTTCGCGCTTCGATTCCGGCCCGCTTTTATACCGTACGTTGGCTGAGTTGTGCATATGTACGTGTGCAGTTTTACTTTCAAGTTGCATAATGTGGTGTGTGTTTGGTCAGATCTGAGGAAACTGACTCCTAAAGATCACAACTTTGAGATGGATCATGGTTTAAAATAATAAATTAGTGAGAGCATAAGTGCACTGTCCCAGGAGAGAGGAGTCACAGCTGGGCCAAGCAGGCTTCTTGGTGACAACTAGCTACTTTTGGCAATAGTATGATGGTTATCAAATTTACACAATGTTCCCCAAATGTAGTGACCCTGCTGAAAAAAACAGCACAGACCAGCACAAATTCCATGCTGCTGGTCTAGCGCTGATATTACTGGCCACCCAGGATGATGTCATGATGTTTGACCAGCATATCAGCATCCAAAACACAACGCATGCTGGTTTTGCTGGGGCCAGCCATGCTGCATGTCTGTGCAGTTTTTTTGTGGCTGGACAGTCCACCAAGACATGTTTGGAGAAGTTTGCGTCTTTAGTTTTGCCTTGGAGCTACTAGGCTAATGTAGCCAACAAGCAATGAAAGTCATAGCACTGCCTTTTTTATCTCAGGATAGATCTTACTGCATATTTTTGTATATTTCTAGTGGTATACATGCCTGTAGATAGGCTTTTTTGTATATATTCCTGCCTCTTTGTAATAAGCGAGATAGATTTATTTGTAGTTGACAGTATTATTTATAGTTGACAATTTTTCTGAGCCTATACATAATTCCTTTCATTTTGTACCACCCTTATTATTATAACTGTGCTGTGTTGTGTGACTGCTACTGGCAGCTAAGTTTCCTTCAGGATCAATAAAGTATCTATCTATCTATCTATCTATCTATGTAGCTAAGAAAGATTCAAGTGGCGGTAAAGGTTAACGAATGGATAATCAGGTAACCACAGGGAAAGAAAAACAAGGAAAAAAAATTACATTAATGTACTGTTGGCTAACCTTTTCAGCTGACAGCACTGATGGCACAAAAAAATCAGTAGCACGGAGAGGAATACATTTATATCATGTTTAATTATTCGAAAATAGCCAAGGAACATTGGTAGGTTTTCGTGAAAATGAGTAATGGAGGCTGCCTCTTCAGATAAGCTAATGAGCTAACGCTACAGCTAACCATCTTTGTACAAGTGGATGCTGTGCCAACATGCTAGTTTGTCAGAGAAATATATTTTCCTTGTTTCTGGCCTTAGCTAACATCAGCTAGAGTAATTAGCCTAGTTAGCACTAAAGCCGCCTCTCAATCGTGTCCTTAACAATTCCTTAGCATATTAAGGCACTCATGTTTCATAGTAGCAGATAGCGATACACTTACTCACAAAATATGAGTGAAATCACCATAATTTGCAGTTTTGTTAAAACATAAAGTCACTGAATTCAATGTATTCACTCAATACATTGATTTGTCCAGCTGTATATTTCTCTACTTTCCTTAATAAAGCAGAATAAATGCCCAAATAGTGGCTTCAGTGTTAATGAAAGCTAGCAAACTAGCATAAGCGTGGTACATTGCATTGCATTAAAAACAGTAGTAGCAGCCATTTAAACCTAAATTTTGTCCTACTTTGGCCATGTTTATAAATAGCAGTATGCCATAACAGTTTCGGAGACCACTTAATCACATTTATTTGAAATTACAAAACAACCTCACAGTTTAAGGCAAGTGTGTGATGGTTTAGGTATGATGCTAATTGATGGAGTATAGATTTCCACTTTGTTGTTAGCTACATTAGCCTTGCAGCTCACATACAAGACCACATCAGCTACATTTATAGTTGAGGGGCTGGGTATTTCAGTCAAATCTGATATTGAAATTTGTAAGGAATTATTGAAAAATCTGCTATATTAAACCCCTACCACAATATTAGGTGAGGTGGTTTGAAATTTACACTGAGAAAGGTGTCTATCTAAAGATAAAGATTATAGGCAATGTATTTTTTTTTTTTTTACCTCAGCTAGTGTTACTAGCCTAGTCACGTCATATTTCACCTCATACCTTTTGTGTGTGAAGAGTTAAATTTGATACCAAATGTGATGAATTCACTAAGTGACATTGAGCATGAGCTTTGGTTTCTTGTTTAGCATTTCTGCCATGCATCCTATGTGCTGTAGCTGTGCTTTGTACTATCTGCTACCAGGTGCCGGCAGGAAGCTAATTTGCGCATAACAAGTTATAATTTATTATTTGATTTTTTTAAACTTTTACAACTATTTGACTATTCCAAAAATCTGACTCATTCCTAGTAAAAATAAAGAAATTGTTGGATCTTTTTTGGAATTGTTGGAAATTATGGCTTTAATTGAAGAGAAATCGGCCTAAACGAATACAGCACATGAAGTGGCTCTCTCTTTTTTAATGTGCTTTCTTGTAAGAGTCTGAAATATTGTGTTGCACTGTACTTATTTGGCATGATGAGTTCCCATGTAATGTAAATCCAAAATCTCTACAGCCATGTGGGGTTGCAAATACATAAACAAACTGCAGGTTTACCTGAAAATCTAACCCTAATCATTCTCCTTCTCTTTTCTCTTGCAGTTTTCAGTGAAGATCTACATTCCAGCTTGTATTTTGTCAATGCATCTCTGCAAGAGGTAGTGTTCGCCAGCACCACAGGGACGCTGGTGCCCTGTCCCGCAGCTGCTGTGCCCCCAGCCACGCTGCGCTGGTACCTGGCCACCGGCGAAGAGAGTTACAACGTCCCAGGGATCCGTCACGTGCACCCCAACGGCACGCTCCAAATCTTCCACTTCCCTCCATCCAGCTATAGCAAAGTGATCCACGACAACACGTACTATTGCACCGCTGAAAATCCTTCAGGGAAAATTAGAAGCCAAGATGTTCACATTAAGGCCGGTGAGTGTTTTGCACCCATGTGTTGCTTTTTAGCCCAACATTTAAAATGTGGCAAATCAGCAAGTTTTCCAATAACAAATAAAGTCTATTCCATGATTGCTTTCTCTCTTTACAGGGAGACCTTCATTCAAACATTGAATGAAAATTAATATTTTAAACAGTTAATTAATCTAGCACCAGACTTCACAGTGCTAAGTTTAATCCATACCCAGAAAAACAGCTTTGTGGATGCATTCTGATAAGATGCGCCACAGAGACGGCACAACCAGTTGATTCTTAAGGTGTGGGGTTTGCTGTAAAGGACTGATTCTGTCAGTCAAGTTTACATGTCCTCAAAATCAAATTAACATGCCCTTTACCCAAAATGTAGCCAGCTATTTAGGTTTGGATGGCATCCACTTGTTTCATAACTTCAAACTATCTCCAAGGATTACCTGCTGTTGGTAAAAATGCCATAAGTGATGAAAACAGTCCCTGGTTTTCGAGCCATCATTCAATAAAGATCAAACCATCTGTTACCCATTGCTAAATTTTACCAGTGTTGCTAAATATGAGAGAGGAGCTGGTTAGCATTAGCTTAGCTAGCATGATAACAGCTCTGCTCACCACAGAACACTAATGTTCTATTCTAGCTAACTGCTTAGCCTCAACACAAGTTAATCATTCAAGTCTGAGAGAGTGAAGTTGAGCAGCTGCTGTTGAAGAGACAGAAATGTGAAATTAATCATGTTCAATGGTGTTTGGATCTGTAGCCTGAGTGGCTAATGTAACATTAGCTTAGCAAGCAGACTACAGACCCAAACAGTGCTATACACCACAGTTTAGGCTTGATTTCGCGTAATAAAGACTAATGTTTGAGAAAGCAAAACTCAAGTAAAACCTGACCTCAAAGTCAGTTGAACCTGTTCTGAGGTATGTGAGACTGTAGGGTTTTGGCTAAGCTAACGATAGCTTTGTTAGCAGGTCAAATGCCACAGCACAGACTTCGCTCCAGCTAACTGATGCTAAAATGATATCCGTCTAGATGGTAACTGAGAGTCGAGTGACTGGTGTTGAAGTGACAGAAAGCTGAAAATGAATGTGTTATGTGGTGTTTGGAACTGTAGCAGTTTGGCTAAGCTAGCAATAGCTTAATTAGCAGGTTAAATGACACACCACAGCACAAGCTCGGTCTCAGCCAAGTAATGGTAAAATGGCACCATTTTTGAGGATATCTGAGAGAAAGTTGAGTGACTGAAAATCAAACGTATTCTGTGGTGAGAGTAGCTCTTAGACGTCGCTGAGCTGCTATCTTGCATAGTTTTTTCTGAGGTTTTTCCTGCCCTCTTTCTATCTGTGGCACCTATCGGTGAGGCCCTCTAAAATATAGATGGCTGGAATGTGTCTGTTTATCCGTTTAGACGTGAAATAGAAATTTTTCACGTCATAATTTTGATATACTGTCATAATTTTGATATACTCTCATATCTTTTAAAATACTGCAGTATACCTTATTATATTATAATGTCCAACTCTATCCAAAAGTATCCAAAGTTTTCTTCTTTAGTTTTGCACTGGAACTATGAGGCTAATGTCACTAACAATAATCTAACTTTGAATTTTGAAGCCTGAATTTTGTCCATTTTGTCTATCTCCTCTGTGTCCAGTCTTACGAGAGCCCTATACGGTCCGGGTGGCGGACCAGACAGCCATGAGAGGCAGTGTAGCGGTCTTCAAGTGCATTATTCCTTCCTCAGTGGAGAAATACGTCACTGTTGTGTCATGGGAGAGAGACACAGTCCCCCTCGTCTCAGGTAGGACCCAACGGTCTCCTTCACGTCTGACAGGCTGGCTCATTTCTGATCGATCTGCTTCGAGGGCTTTGATGGACTTTTTCTGTCACACGTGCTGGCTGTCAGATTTAATGTTGGGCTCAAGGTCCAAGCAAGAGGATTCAGTCATGCCAGAGCTTACCAGTCAAAAGTTTGGAGACACCTACTCATAGAAAAGGGTTTTCTTTATGTTTAATGTTTTAGGATAATAGTGAAGACTACAAAATAAAACATATGCTGTGACCATTAAACAAATTTAAACTACCTTCTGGTTTTAGATTCTTTAAAGTACTTTGCCTTAATGCATTGCACACTCTTGGCATTCTCTTAAGCAGCTTCATGAGGAGCCACCTGGGATGCTTTTCCAACAGACTAGAAGAAGCTCCACATTATTATGCTGAGACCTTATTGGCTGCTGTAAATGTTTATCTTGGGAATACATTTAAAAATAGTAGTGTTTCACCATTACCAATACCATATTGGAATCAGCGCCACTACTGACACTTAAGTGTACTATTGACAGTAGATAATACCGATACCATGATATAAATGGACCATAACTGCACCAAGCAACATGTCAGCTGTATTGGATTAGTGCACATTTGAGACAAGCAATAGTAAAAATGCTAGTTGCAAAATCTGTAATGCCAGTATTGGGTCATATACCATTGGTATTGGAATTCTTCTAAAGACATTAGCCACAAATAAGTGCAACGTACATACAGAGCAAAACACGCTAGCGCTATCCCCTTTGCCTGAATAGCTGAGTCATTTTTCTCTCAGTGATCACTCCTCCTGTGTAGTCAGTTACGGTCTGAGTTAAAGTTAGTTCAGGTCATTATTACGGGAGTGGAAGTAAGAGATGAAAAGAGCAGCCAGTCTCTTGGGATAACAACAGTGGGTCAGTTGCTTCAGACAGCTGCATGCTCTTGTGGCCTGGTGCTCCCATTAGGCCGAGAATCTGCAGCTCAACAGTTGATAGCATGAATAACAGTAATATTAACTGAACTCCAGCAGAGTTTGACGCTCATAAATATGAGAGTGAGTGTTTGGAAGCACATATGACACAAATGAAATTCAGAGAAATTCATGCATGAAACTATTTTTGATATTTTTGAAGCTACAGTGTGCTTATGCTTATGAAGCATAGGTTTACATATATATATATATATATATATGTGTGTGTGTGTGTGTGTGTTTGTACATACATGGTGTCAGATACTGGTGTCAGTTTTGGTATTGGTAGGGAAAATGTGGTATTGGTGCATCGCCTTCACTGCTGGTATATCTTTAATATTATGAAAAACATGCATTCAGTCAGACAGCCAAACTTTTGACTGGTACTGGTACCACAACTCTGTGATCTTTTCTATGTACCACACCCAATCGTAGCATTAGATATTTACACTGTCTGATGCATCTGTTACAGCTTTTTAGCAGCATTTGCAAAATTCCAGAAGCACAATATCTGTCTCATCATTCATCTCTGTTGCCCTATATTGAGCTTGAGAAGGAATTTGGCCTCTAAGATTTTGGCCTCTAAGATCTTGGCCTTCCAGGATCCAACGACAACAACATATACAGTGATATAATTGACCTCTGCGGCACACCCACAGCTGTCTAATCCATTCCTTGAGCCAGTCTAGCCTCAGTCTGTCCAATACATGCCACTTGTGTCACTTAGCTTCACTGTATTGACCCAGTTCTCTGACAATTGGCACCACAGAGTGAGCGGTTTGAAAATTCACATCAGTTAAATGGAACACTCGTCCGCACAATTGTTTCCTCCCCTCAGGGATGGCTGCTCTTTATATGGGGCATTTAGCAAACCCAATAGAGGGACTGACGACGCTTAGGCCGAGGGCCATTGCGGCCATTTTCTCTGCCTTTATCTGCTAGAGAACAAATCAGAGATGTGACTTTATTGGATTTGTTTCACAATCTAGAGCAATGGTAAGCAGAAGGCTTTACAGGAATATATAGTTAGATTATTTTTACAATGCTATTATATGATCTTCATGGGCTGCATAACAAATTGTAATGCATACAGGCCCAGTCACAAAGTTTTTTTTAATTTAAGATTAGTAAAGTATTTATTAGCCTACTTTTTAGCCAATGTAAATAGCATTACACAATATACATAATATTGTTTCCTCTGTAAAAGGCCAAATTGACATTTTAACCTATGTAAAGCTACAGAATGTAAGTTTTTTTTTGTCAAAATTAAAAGAATTAGCATTACTGAGTCAGGATAAAAGCAAAGAAAAAAACAATAAATATGGCGGAAATAATCATTTCAAACTCAGAGACGTTGGATCAGATTTGGCCAGAGTTTTCCAGACCTTGTCATATGTCTTTATGTATTAACGTTACTCACAGAGGCTCAAAAAGAAGGTCCTGCATGATGTTTAGCTCTCAAAGCCAACATATACTGATGAAGACATGATAACATAATTAATTTAAATCCTCAGAAGACGTGTCCTTCACCAAGTTTTGACTGAGTTCTCTTTGAATTCTTTTTCAACGTGCTCACAATCATCAGATTCATCCCCTTGGGGAAGGGGTCTGAAGCACAACCCATGTTACAAAATGTCCTTCCACACATTGCATGCAATTACACAGTTCCAAATCCCCAAATCTTTCCTCATGTTATTGACCATAGTATCGCTGCACAGACCACACACACACAACAACAACACACACACACACACACACACACACACACACACACACACATTTTCTAAGCCGCTTATCCTTCTGGGTCGTGGGGGAAGCTGGAGCCTATCCCAGTGCTCACTGGGTGAAATGCTGCTGCACAGATCAGCCAAAATGAAAACAACAAACTGGCAGATTGTGATTGTGTTTTTGAAAAAGTAGTTCCAGCAGTTCATAGTTCTACACTGTATACATGTTATGTATCATCTGCAACGACATCAGCAGATATGAAAAAAAATTCGGATATCGTCGAACAGCTCTCACCTCACTGCAGCCCTCGTATTGAATATTTGTGCATTTTTTTGCTGTCTGTGCATCTGAAATATATGTCCATTCAGGGAAGGCTGTCAGAAAGTATTAGCTTCTCGGCAGTCTAGTCTTCTTTTCTGTGGTAAATATTTGATGAGTAAGGGCAATATTTCACAAACAAATAGATTTTAGACACAATTCATTGCACGTGTCATACTGAGGCAGTGTCCACTCTTCACTTTCCCTGACGCGGGACTCTTATGGGGCTTTAGAGTGGTGTATGTGGACTACGGTACGTTCTCTCAGCCTAAAATCCTTTGTTTTCTGGACATCTTGAATATTTAATGAATAAATAAGGTTCAAATGGAGAAGTTCGTATGAAGCTGTACTTTATTGTGATGAAATATTAACTTTGAAAGCACATTTCGGTTTAGGACATTTTTCTTCAATGACGTTAGAACTGAAGTGTGGCGAGATTGACTGGAGGGAGTCGGGTACAACTTGCTTGAGGGCAAGATGTGACTGTTAACAAACTTTTTGGTGATAGTTGATTATCAACAAGATTATGGTTAGGGTTAGGTCTAGGAGTAGGTGTAGGTTTTGCCTTGAGGTTAGGTTTAGGGTTAAGTTAAGGATTAGGGGCAGATTTAATAGAATCTTTCACATGCAACTTAAAGTTCAGATGCAATTAATCTATCTAGCTGCTGTCGGAAGAAAACCTCGTATCTCCATTTTTGTCATTTTTTAGTTTTTGACATAATTTGAAAATGCCTGTTGTTCTTTACATTGTGTGTAAATTTCATGATGAATGGACCAAAAGAAACGGCCCAAAATGACTTGGAGAAAAGTCTGGTTCCATTGACTTACATTAAAAGTAAAGTAGGTTTTTTCCTTCTCCTGTAAAGTTACTATTTTGGAGATATGATGTTTTCCTCCGACAACAGCGATACATTTAGTTTAATTTTAGTTGAAGATAGACTGAGCACCTACAAAGCTTTTACAGTGGACCATCCAAATAAAGTGTTACCACGTTTTGTTTAACACTCAGAGAACGTGGGAAGAAGATGGAAGAGGACGAAGCAATGGATTCCTCGAGTAGTAACACCAATGAATGTATCACTTTTCATCACTGTCACTAAAATTACTGGAACCTTTCAGCTCTGGTACATTATAGCCCTGTTTGGATGGGGTTAAATTTACATGGGATGCTAGGAAGGGGGGGATTTTTCAGACTGAGCATGAGTGCATGTTTTTTGGTACTTGTCAAACTGATACTGACACCATAATGACTAACCTACTTAGAATTAAAAGTTATTAAAATATGCAAAAATAGTAAAAAACATTGGAATAGCCACCCAATACAGTGTTCTAGAGCTCTAATCTAAAAGACAGTATTGACCTTAAAACCAGGTGCACCCGGTTCCTGCTGCTGCCTAGCTAGCATGTTCTCATCTGCATTTATTTCAGAGAAAACTGGAATGTGCTAGTCAGCTTGTGGTCTGGAGCAGCACCGACATTCATGAAATTCAGAATATTCAACATTTCTCCATAACTAAATGCTAAGATGTAAACAAAGTTGTTCAGAGTGGTTTGGTGTGAAATGAGAGAAAGCGTTTACAGAAAATGGTTACAAATACACTGCTTTGTACCTGAGAAATTATTTAAAAGTGGATCTGAGATAAAGTTTTGGCCTAAAACGTATATTTTTAAACCATTTCATGGCGGAGCGGTACACGCAAGGCAAAGTAGCCCCTAAAAATTGTGTTTGTCAGATTTATCAACAATTATATATGCAAACTCAGAAGACACGTGAAGGTTCACCCGTGGTTTTGGATAGTAAATAAAATGGCTACATTTGTGTTGTAGTCATGGTGACCCCTGGTTCCTATCACCACCACTGTAAAGAAATCTGAGTCTGTAAGTTTCTCAAAAATGAACCACTTCACATTGAACCACTCTGATGACTCTGTTTACATCTCAACAAATAAATGATGTAATACTGATATCATGTATATTCC